AACGTTGCAAGGCAATATTTTTGATGATATTGCTTTGTAAAGGTAAAGCAGCAACGTTTAAGCAATGTTCCAGCAATGTTGCCTGACATTATATTTTAGACAATGTTTTCAAAACGTCTTTAGAATTGTTTCTGAAACATTATTAAAAAACGTGTTAATAAATATTTCTAAGATATATTGTGACAACGTTGTTAAACATTATATTTTACTACGTAAAAAAATTATATTTTTACAACATTTTTAAAACCCTTTTAAAAAAATTGTCGAAAATATTACTGCTAACGTTTAATGAAACATTATCACAATGTTGTTAATTTGAAAACATTTTAAAAGTGTCATTTGCAGCAGATGCACCCTAAGAATGTAGGTTCAAGAGCAATGTCGTTGGAGCGTTTTTAGAGGCATGAGAAATATTTTACCGCATGGTGCAAATACTTTCTTGTAACTTTGGAACAAAAAATTATTTTTATTGAAGTTGTGGCTTACATCCTCTTTCTTTTGAAAAAAATTAACCCGATATTATTTATTATAGTTAGTTCGTGTAGATCTCCATAATAATGAAATAAAACTACACTGATCAGAACGCGTGTAGACTCATATGTATAATGCCCCCAGAGAGAAAATAGGAGGTGTTTGCAGTTCGAGCATCTTCGAATTTTTTTAATGACGTAGGTCGGCACGGCGACTTTTATCATCGATTTTCTTAGAAATGGTGTAGTTTATGAAAAAAATACATTCTACATAAAGTGTTTGAAATTACATCATACGTTCATTTAAGCAAAAAAATCAGACGTTATGGTCCGTTTTTCATACTTCGAATTCCGGATTTTGCTGACCATATTGTACCGACCTACGTCAAAGGGTGCACAATCCTCAAGATGCAAACACGTCCATTTTTTCTCTATGTAATGCCGTACAGTTATTGTGCAGAATACGTAAAATAATATAACTACAAATGCAATGCTTGAAGTACACCCATAGTCCTGAAGGCGCTTCTCGGTGCGCCACGCAGTTTCTTGCTACGCGTATTTGGCATCATCGGCGGTGCAGAGGGGAAGTCTTTATTCTACTGTGCCAAGGAAAAACGCCGTAAGAACCTTCAGACGTTGCAACATTTCTTTCGATAAAATACGAATTTTCGAGAGAACTCTTGGGTTTTCCTCCCACAATTTCTCAGAAAATTGTTTACGAAATTGTATCTATAGTATCTGGACATTTCCAGGAGAAATAAGCTCATAACTTACGAAATTGTATCTATAGTATCTGGACATTTCCAGGAGAAATAAGCTCATAACTTATCTCAAAATTAATATTTCATCAGGAGAAGTCTGCCAACGGAGATTCATACGGAGATTCTTCTTATTTGCAATGAGGGGATAACCTCCTTAAAATAAGGAAACGAAATTCAGTATTATCGCTGACAGAGATATGTTTTCAGAGTTTATTTGAACTTATCATCATCTCTTTCGGAATGCATTGATAGAGATCAGATTTGAAACTCGCGCGCTAGGTTTCAAACGTTGCTGGCGCATGCGCGTCTGCAACCCGGCAGCTCTCTGGACGCACCGCGCTCCCTCCAATTTTAACGGCTAACTGAAATCGTCCTGTGCAATTGTGTGTCCTTCCATGCCTGTTGCACTCCATTGCACTCCGCGCCGGTCCTGATTTCAGTGATAGTGTTTGTTTGTGTTTTCAGTACAATGTATTTTAATTGTTTCAGATGCACTAAATTTCTTTTCAAAACAACTACCATCGGCCAAACAAGAGCAATTATGTCGAGGGCCCTCAATTTTTGGCTTTTTGAATGTGATGAGGGTAACTCATGCCTTATTAAAGAGCATCTTCATGAATACGTCGGAAAATTTCGCCCTCGAAACTTTTAAGGAATAATTTGAGATCGCGCTCACTTTCTTTAAACTCCCTCGTGGATATTTCCTCATTGAAAAATGAAAGAGCGAAATTGTGTTCAATGAGCTCAATTAATCTTTGGTGAATTTAAAATGGTGTGAATTTTGCAAAAAGAAAACACATCGCTCATTCTAGAAATCATGTATCTGACTTAAGTTACCCTGTGGATAGAAGCCTGTACGGATGAGCCAGAAATAGTAGTTATTTACTGTAGAATGAAGTCCAAAATAAGGTAACGTAACTTCTACGTTACATTGCACGTTGTGACGTACTACCAAGATTCCATAAGATTCTGTTGTTTAGTAACTTTTATACCTTGGATCATATGTAAAAACTAAAGGACTACAGCTCCCTACCGCTTTGCGCCTTAGTCGTTACGCGTTTCTCTTCTGATTTTGAATTATAGAATAATATAGGTTGCTTCTAAATCGACAGTTTTTGTTGAAAAAAATATCGTTAACTTGAGTTTGTTTTAAAATGTGTCTCTTTTGCAATTTTTGCTGTTTTTTCCCAATAATAAATCTGACTGGGCCTGAGAGGAGAAAGTGTTGCACACGAAAGACAAATGAGGAGAGTTTCTCAGGTAAAATTGCGGAAAACTCATGCTTGCATCACAGATATACATGTAAAATACAATTGAAAACTGAGCCATTTTACTACAATTAATTACAACATTACTACAATTCATTGGAAGCGAACCCAGACCATACTTTAATAAAAAAACAATGTGCAAGAGGATGTTGATATTTTTGTAAAAAAATTTATGAATATACAAACATCCCCTTGCACATTGCTTTTTTATTTAAGTATGGCCTGAGTTCGTTTATCATTGTAGTGAAAATCGGCTAATAGCTCAGTATTTGATTTTATTTCATTATGAGTAGCTGAAAATTGAATAATTTTCCTATACATACACATTTCTTTGAAAAAGACACATTGCATAAATATACGCTTATATTTATTGTGAATATAATTATCGTGGACTATATCACGCATTTGAAGTGCGTCGCGTACGCAGGCACATTTTTTTATTGCCGGCAATCAGATTCCAAGTGCAAGAAAACCTATCGTAAATAAACGCCGTGAACGGTTGCAAACCTTTATTGCATATGATTAAAAGCCTTGTAATGTAGCGTTGATTTTTGCGTTTCCTCTAAACCAGGTGGTAAGAACCCGGACCGCTACATAGTCCGACTCCCAAAAGCGCTTCGCGCCTCAAACATTTATTTCTAAAGATTTTGTATTCTGAAGTAAAAAGGATAAAACAAGGATTTGACGATAATTCAAATCACACATGAAAATTATTGGCAACAGGTTGCCTGATTGCATGATAGTTCCTTCTTTTAATGTCACGTGACAAGCAAAAATTCGAAGCATAAAATTGTACATATGATTTGCAAAAAAGAAGAATGATTCCATAAACTGTCTCACGGGTTAAAAATTTTACGCGAAAAAACTAAAAAACCGATCATCAATATAATATGATATGACTCAATACATGTCATAATACGACTAAACGGAGGTTTGCTCATTTTAAAGAATAAAAGTCATAGACTCCTCGTCGGAGAGAGCATCATTTGGGCTTCTCCTGCTAAAATTCTGATGAATAAATTTTTCTGCTATTTCACTTTTACCTCTACAGTTTTTATTTAACAAGCATACATCAAAAAGTTTCCCTCCTTCAGTCGATTTTTTCGGCACTCAGGAGAGAAAATTTTGTTACTTCTTTTGTTAACTTTATCGGCCATACTTACTCAAATTTTGTAGATACTTTTTCTTACCGATTGTTCTCAAATTGTGGGTACTTTTTACACTACGGCCGTCTTGAGCAACCGCTCATCGTCAGGTGTTTAAAAAAAATTCTAAAAACCAAAATTATAATGTGTTTTCGCGATCGCGAGTAGTCGTTTGGTATCCGCGCCCGCGTTCGCGGTCACACATTACGAACAGTCACGTCACGAACGCGAACGCGGATACCGAACGACTACTTGCGATCGCGAAAACGCATCATAATTTTACTTTTTAGAATTTGTTTTAAAAACCTGACGATGACCGGTTGCTCTAAACGGCCGTGGTGTAAAAAGTACCCACAATTTTGGAAAAATCGGTGAGAAAAAGTTGCTACAAAATCTGAGAAAATTATGTGATGATCAATGATCAACCCACTAGTTTAACTGAGGTTTGCTATGATGCAGTAGAAAAAAAAGACCACATTGGATCTAGAGTCCAGACTCTTAAAAATATCGACAAGAAAAAGTACTCTTGATTCAATTAGAATCTAGCTTAAATCAAGAACCAAGCCTCTTAATTTGAGCGGATTTCGTTTTGATTCAAGCAAAAATTCGATTGAATCAAGAATATTGTTTCTTGTCAATGTTTTCAAGAGTCTGGACTCTAGATCAGATGTGTTTTTTTCCAGTGTGATTTAAAGGGAATTTAAACAAATAATAATAATAATAAAAAAAAAAAAACCTGATTAAAAATTGGTCGGTTGCGTTTTTTACGAATTGCATTAACTCCGGTGGATCGATGACATACATCCCTACAATTCTGAGAAATACAAGCTGGGGGCATAAGTGGACATGCGTCGAGTGGTAGCGAGGGGCCCGAAGAGCAATCAGAATCCGTAGGTAAAAACAGCGGCGAAGCAAAGTAAAACAAGAGGGCAAATTTGAAACAATTAAAAGCGGAGAGGAAGAAAGCGGACAAGTGCGAAGAGTGAATAAGCGGGGGAGGAAGGGAGGGGGAGGCGGGGGCGATAATTAAGAGGAGGACGAGGGAAGCACAGGACGCGGACTCGGCGCCCAGATTTGTGTGTGTATTATTTTTCATAAAACGTAAAAACGTAAGAGCGTCAGTGGGCACGGAGAAAGAGGTAGGGAGCTAATGATAGGAGGGGATTGAGAGTCAGCCCTCCTGTTTTCTTTTTAATAGGGACTGGATCGGGATCGGCGCAGTGGCGGGCGGGGGGCCGCGGGGGGCGAGGCGGGCGCGGCGCGGCGAGGGGAGAAAAAGGTTTTAGTTCACCGGTTGGCCACAAAACGCGGGCGGGTGGCCACGACATAAACCGCTGGGCGCGGATTTGAAGGGGAGGGTCGAGTCGCGCTCTCTCTCCCCCGTGCGCGGCCCGGCGCCCCTCTCTCTCGCCCAACCCCGGACCCGGCCCGCATTCATGAAAAAACTGCCCACAGTAGTAAAAGTAGGGAGGGCGCAAAGAATATTGACAAAAAGAAAAAAAAGAGAGAGGGGAAAAAATCGGGGAAAGAAGGAAAAAAAGACCGTTCCCAACTTTGATGTGCCAGTTTAGTTCCCGTCTCCGACTCCGTAGCCCACACGTTCCTCTTCGACACCTCTCGCTCCACTTCTTACGTTCTTGCGTCCTTACGTGCGCCCGACCTCAACTTCTCCGCTCGCACCGCAGCAGTGTTTTCCGCTCCCATAGTTCCGTACCAACCGCGGCTTACTTCTTTGCGTCTCCGTCGGTTCTGCGTCGCCTCTCTTCGGTTGTGTTCTCCACGTCTTCCTCTCGGCCTATGGATACGTCTGTTGGTGGCTGTTGAATGTGTTTTGTGTTGTTTCCGCGGTGCGTCGATGATCGAAGCTGATCGCCAATGCATTTGCCCCGGGATCGCTCCAAGTCGAAGGCTATGAACGGGGACCTCCTGGCGGGTCTCCACGAGGCCCTGCAGGAGTACCACGGCGAGCTCGTGCAGACCGGGAGCCCGGCCATCCTCTGCTCGGCGCTGCCCACCCACTGGCGCTCCAACAAGTCCTTGCCCATCTCCTTCAAGGTCATCGCCCTTGACGATGTCGCCGACGGCACCCTCGTCTCCATCCGCGCCGGCAACGACGAGAACTACTGCGCCGAGCTCCGCAACTGCACCGCCGTCATGAAGAATCAGGTGGCCAAATTCAACGACCTCCGATTCGTCGGCAGAAGTGGCCGAGGTGAGTCCCACACTTTCGCTCAACTTTCCACGGACTCTCTTCTTCCGATCCAGTGGTCCCTAGAAGAATCACTATACCGTCACCTTCCAGGGAAAGTATCACAAGCGCCATGCGACGTTTACAAATTTCCGCCGCCATTTCATTTCTTTACTGAGAAATTGTTGGTTGAATCTATTTGGAAATTTCACTAACTTTTATCGGCAGCACAAAGAAAATTCAGTGAACTTTTCAGACAGCTTCGTTAAACAATTTCTCTGTAAAAAAATAAAATGGCGGCGGAAATTTTTAGACGTCGCATGGCGCTTGTGATACTTTGCCTGGAAGGTGACGATACTGCCATCCTCGGCAAAAGACATTGCACCATGTTTCAGTTCTTCGTGTAACGTGTTTGAAAACGTGGAAACTAAATCGTTGGTAAAACTACGAAGCATCTACCTCGATCCCAAGTTGTAGCTCATGCTCACTTTTTAAAAAAACATAAATTGCACGGTTTTAATGCAGGATTCTCCGGCTGCGTTCTCGGTAAAGAAAGTGAGAATCATGGGAGATGTATTGTGATAGCTAAGATAAGTCTCGCGTCAAGCAAGTAAGTGTGACAAAACTCTAACATTGCAGATCAAGATACGATGTTTTGCAGTATCACCTTCAAAAAGTTGTTTTGCGTTTGTAATTCAAAGGTGAATTCAGAAGCATGAAAGACTCAATGAGTGATGCTTGGGATGGCTGTATGGAGGGTAGTATCAAAACACATTATCCTAATTTTCCTGATAATACAGGTATATGTCTTGGTGTCCTTTCTGACGCCAATGCCAATCGGAAGCTTTTGAAATGTAAAGCACACCGAAATTCACTCAGTGCGATATTTGGAGTAAGGAAAGTTTCGATATTTTGAGCTAAAAGGACGTTTAATTTGGCATACCAAAAGTGACCGGTTAAAAACTTCGAGATGGATATTTTCAGTACATTCATTGCGTTCCGCATGAAATGTTACGGGAAAACAGGCGTTGTTGCACAGGAGCATCAAACTCGCGAATTAATTTATTTAAATCGAGCTTGGTAATGCGCAAAATCCAGCGTGGCGGCCACTGAAAAGCATCAATTTATATTTCGAGTACAATGATAATAAGAAAAAGTGCACGTGCGGCGTTATTTGGTGCACTGGAAAAATCGCCGAAATATTGATGTAAATCTGGAATGCACGCAGTAAAATTGCTGTTAAATTTACCTTCATGAGAGAAAATGGGAAAGGAGGACGGTGCTTTACAAACTATCAGAATGTTACCACGAGAGACACGGCTACAAAAACCATAATATTTATACGGTATTTGTAACTTTTACCCCAGATATGAGTTTTACTTTTAAACTGCTTGACAAAAACTGCGTTTATTAAGGTCTCTTGGATGAAATAACTTCATCAATACTTAACAAGTATGCATATCTTCACGTGTTGAATAAATGAAACCAAAAAATTGGGGCCGAGCTCAAATTAAATTCAAAATGCATCGAAACGATTGAAAGATCGGCTGATTTGGTTGGGGGCAAACTTCTTGCGCTAATACGTCTATTCATTTTTTGTGGGTTAAGACAAATTATATTTATATAAAAAATTATAATCCTCCGACAGATTGTTTTCAATCCTTCACAAGTTTTTCTTCGCGACTCCTTGAACGCAAACTACAGGGAAGTTACATCCGAACATGCAAAGTTGCAATGCACATTTTTGCAGTTTGAAACCTTTGACTTTTTCTATTATGTTCTTCACATTTGAGCAAATTTTTCAGCCTTCTCTCCACAAACTCTGTTAAATAAACAAAAAAATTGTTTATCTTAAAATCCCCAAGCATTAGAATTTGGTTAACTTGATAAGAGCATCTATTTTCTTGTTAGCGCCGCGCCGTGTATGATTCTAAGGATGTTAAAAGCTGTTATACTGCAATTCATTTCCTATCGTTATTACAGATTGGATAGCATTAATTCAACAAATTCTATTACCAATGATAACTTCGTGTTAAAATTTTTGCTGAAAATGGATGCTTCGATGGAGTTCTATGTTCAAACTAATTTTTTCTATTGACATTTTTACTCCCATGAAGGACTGATTTGATCGGCACTATTTCAATTAGGATTCGGGCTAAGAATTAATTTTATCCTTTTACAAAAGCAGTGTATAGATAAATATACATATGTGTTTCGTGTCCATTCATTTTTCATAATTAATATCGGACACTTTTTAGGTGATCTGTAGCGTGCGGCTTTATGGGCTGGTAGTATTCTTACAAAATTACCCGATCCAAAGAAACTCCATGATGGGTTCATGAGTCTTGTCCGTCAATATCACGCTATGAAATTTTTGTTTCCTACAAATATCACAAAATCGACGTAGGTTTTTTTATGTTTTTAAGTCATTTTTGGCACTCATAAAATCAAACACTATTCGTATATCATTAAAATAAAAACCTTCCCAAATTGTTGAGTAGAAAGACGTATACATTGTCGAACTAAGTGGAAATTTCATGATGGTGAGACCAGAATGCGAGCTGTTGACAATATAGTTCGATGTATGAAAAATGCGGTGGGAGAGCTTATGGGTTTCAACCTTTGACTTTAACGCTGGAGAGAAAGAATAGACCAATTTTGCAATTATTTTATCCAGTGGTAGAGGCGGCTATCGTTAGTTTTTTTTATTTATTTTAGTCATGGATTTACTGTATCGTGAGAAGTTGACTCATTGTAAACTGGATAAAGTTGCGAAAATGAATGATATACTGTTTTGCGAAGTGATAGTTGCAATGGAAATCTGCCCGATATGATTTTTTGAAACGCCTCAAGGCTGAGTACTGTGCGTGAAGTTACCAAAATAACGTCCCACAAAATATAATTAAAAACTTTGATTTCCATAAATTTTAGCTGACTCGAGGGCGTGAAAATTACCTGAATGAAAAAGTTGAACTGATAATTTTGGCTCAAGTGTTTGAAACTAAAAATACTGTCTAAAAATGTGTCAACCAATCAACTAAAAACGTTATTTTCACGACTAAGGAAATAAGTCACTTATGCATGCTTTACTTGCTATTTTTTTCTATTCCGTGTGGTACAATTTCAAGAAAAAAACTTGTGAAAAAGTTTCCTATACTTGCCGTTCCGCAGAATACACTTGCTAATAATAGTGTTCTAGTTCATTCGACAGAGTTAGTTGATAACAGACAATTTTTACAATCCAAACCGTAAAAGAATTCACATATCTGATGGGCATTTCCCTGCGGGTTGGAACGAGGACTGAAAACACTCATTTTTTAAGATCACTCGCTAATATTCTGTTACCAGTAACATTTTCCTCTCCCCATCCATGGCATATAATAACATCAGAAAATGAAACATTTTCTCAACAGTGGCAACGTTCAAACGATGTTGCATGCTTACAATGAAAAATTACAAGATAACAAATTAGGTAATAATTTAGTTCACGGTTCAATCTGAAACTTCTTGTTCCACTTTTCGACTGCTGGATAAAACCTTCTAGTGTTGTGTCGAGCAGCAGAAGCAGCTGGGAAGGAAATTCATGAGTATTATTAACTGTATCTTCTGCCAAAAAGAGACACTGGCTCAAAATTGGTAAGGGTTCTTTAGTTTTTCCACTCAAAGAACCTCCATGAAATCGATACTGCTTTCTGAGTGACACGCTTTAAGCGTATAGATTATTAGGTTAGAAGTACCTTTTGGCAGCTTCAAAATTATTCTCCATTCGTCACTTTTGACTATGGCAATATGAGTCAAAATTAGTAAAACAGTATTTAAAAAGTGGAGGAACGATTCAAATTTTTGACCATGGAACTCTCTTCCTGGGTACCGCAGCAGACGAGAGAGGGAAAATTGAACGTTTAGGCGTACCTACATTTACGTTCAGGTGCAAAATCTGAACATTGAAAGGATGGAATTTAAAGAATTACGACCTTCACGCAAAATATGCAGATGTACATTTGATTTGAAATGTTTACATATTTTAAAATCATTGATTTCTTTCATTGAGAACGACCGAATATTGCATATTCCCTAAACAAAATTAAAATAATTTCGATTTAAACTGTTTAATGTTGCACTCTAGAAAGAAATTTCACTTTTAGTTATTGTTTCGCAATAATTTTGAGGTCGAAACTTTTTTCGAGCTTAACCGAGAATCTCCTCCCATGGAGAATATATTGTCAAGTAAATTCATGTCAGATATTCCGTTAATCTCTTTGCAGTAGATAGTTTTGTTACTATCACAGGATTATCCTGTACTATAAAGCGCTTGATGGAGAAAAGATCATATTGAGTGCTCAAACTAGCTTTTTTTAAAATAAAACTCACAGTCCACGATAAAGGAATGTAGACGTAAGACTTACTAAAGCACGCGAATGGGATTTCTTTCAGGTGATTTCAGTGGGAAATGAAGGGGGCTGAAAAAGGTTGGTGTAGGGTTAATGGGACCGCCCCCACAATTAACAGGCCTTTAATCTGCGTTTGCCTAAGACGACGTCAAGGAGGTCGGAGGGGGCGCAAGGTGTTTCCTTGATGAGGTTATGTGTCGAGCTAATTAAGTTTAAAGTATTCTCTTCAGCCTCAGCCGGAGCACTTTTTCAGCCATCCCCTTTGCACCTCCTTCTCACCCCTCTATCGCTCCCCCACCGGCTCTCTTCTTGCGCGGTTTTCTTTGAGAATTTTGTCTTTCCCTATGCCTTCATCAACATTTGTTTAATTATAGCTTTCGCTTTGTCATTTTGAGTCGGTCTTTAATGCTAATTTGCGTTGCCACGTCTATTGGTTATATGATGGACGGTTTTGTAGGAAAAGTTGATAACGGTAATATAGGCACATCCTCATGATCCGATGAAAATGTTTGTAAGTAGAATAGAAGACAGGAAAAAAAACATTGGATCTTGAGTCCAGACTCTTGAAAACATTGACAAGAAAAAATACTCTTGATTCAATCAGATTTTTGCTCAAATCAAAAGGAAAGCCGCTCAAATTAAGAGGCTTGGTTCTTGATTTGAACAAAAATCTGATTGAATCAAGAGTATATTTTCTCGTCGATGTTTTAAAGAGTCTGGACTCTAGATCCAATGTGTTTTTTTTCCCCAGTGAATCTAGGTAATACTGTGAACAATTTACGTATTTTTCACCAATGTATTACATGAAGTTGATGGCGTCTTCAGATGAGACTGTAGGTCATGATACTTAATCTCTGATATGTGCTCTAATATGCCGCATATTAAAACAAAATAAATCGTGTTGTAAAATCTGCTGGTGTCAATTTTTCCAGCTTCGAGTTTTTTTTATGTTGATGATACTTCCCACGATTTGTTACAATCATGAAATTGGCGCAAACACTAACTTCGAAATTAAAATAATCCTGAAACGAGTAGAAACACGAGCATCACTTTCATGGTCGAATAAAACTCTGCAAAAGAGTATTAAC